GGGGGTTACCTCAGGACCGTGAGGTAAATTCTCCCTCCATTAACCAAAAGGAAGGTCCGTTCTCCTTACCCCTCTTTGCCAAGGGTTTTACATCGCGATAAACCAACCAGGAGCACCCTGGCGACTCCGTGAGGAGCCGCGGGTGGGAGGGAAGCGCTCTCCCAGCTGCAATGACCGCTGTTAAAGGCGCCCTGGCAGCAGCCGCAGCCCCAAGCCGCGGCCCCTTCCCCGCTCCCCTCAGAGGCGCGGCACGGCGTGGGGAGGGCGCCCCCTGCAGGCTGCCGCCGTTCACCACCGCTCATATAATATATATTATATATATATTTCTATAAATATCTATATTCTATAAGAACTATTTTCTGCCGAGAGAGGCTACAGTTAACCCAGGGGAAAAGTAAAGCCGCACAGAGGCTTTTTAACCAAGTGTTTTGGTGTTTACAGCGCCAGCTCTCGAGTTAAGCTTTGGGAGGGAGCTGCCCTCCAGTGCTTTACGTTCTTATGCAGTTAATTTTCTTTGAAACTATTTTTGTCCTCCTCTCTCTAAATAGGTGGTTTCTTAAGTGAGTGTTACTTAAAGGAAACCAATCTGTTTTTCAGGAAGGGCTGATGATGTCAGGCCTTTCAACTCTGCTTTCCCATAAGAATTCTTCTAGCAAAAGGAGTTTCACTCTGGGAAATAGTGAAAACTAACGGGAAAATATTCAAAGCATCTCAGGCTGCATGTTTATCAAACTTCTAGGTTGACACTTGGGTTTTAATCGTGTTGTGAATGTAACAAACGAGGGGAAAGTGAGAGAAGCCCTTTTTGGGTTTTAGAGTTAAAAAATGAATTTGCAATGAACAAACGTGCGATACCAAAATAACCCTAAAGAGCTAAACACACGTCTGAATGCAATACACACAGAATGTGTTTTTTCATAGTTCTAAATTTATGTGCTCCATTTCAGCATAGGTATTAAATCTGAAACAGAACCACTGCGTATCATGAACACGAGAACTATAACCAAAAAAATACTTCAACCCCAACGAAATGACAAGAGAAATTCAGAGAGTATCATATTATTATTGACTGGTTTTAGGAGGTGTGGATGTGTAGCTATAGGTCCAATGCGTGCTTAGTTACTCTATTATTGTTCTGATACTGGAAATCCCTGCAGTCAGCAACAGAAAAAACCTCCGAGCAGAGCCAGAGAGACTTTAACTTATGGGTGGCTCAAGAACTAATGATAGTAACAGACTGTAAGTTTTCATTTGCAGAATAATAAGAGTTTCAGAAAGCTTTCAATCTTCCAAGAAAAGCATTCAATTTTTACAGCCAAATGCTCCTTGCTATTCACAAACAGGTCCTGATGATAAATTTGGATACATCTGCATTTTCAAAAGCATAGCTCTAACTACTCACCCATTAACCCACCCTGCCTACCTGTGAGACAGGTAAGTACCACAAACCCCATTTTAGACAAGTAAAAAGGTCACACCAGGCCGTATACTACCCTAACATTTAGCCCCACAACCAACTGATGTCGTAACAGTCTTATAATAGTAAAAGCCCATAAAAGGATCCCAACCTAACTCTGATATTACTGACAACACACTCTGGCAATCCAACGGAATGACAAAAACACAACGTCGCTGGATTAACAGGCACAACGGCCCAAACAAAATCTGTGCTAGCTATAAAAGGTGCAAAGGAACCATCTCTTTATCATCCCCTATTTAACAGTTTACTTCATTCTGCTAAAAAGAACAAAGCCGAACTATGATTCATTTGGAAATGAAATCATCCCCACCCCTACTAAGGCGTACATCGTGTGGGTAAACAGTTCCTCGGGTACTCTGAACAAAAAGTAAATAGATTGCCCTGCTACTATATACATAGCAAACAGTTTAATTTTGAAATGAGAGTTAAAAAACATGCGAGAAGAATATCACAGAGCCTGAACTCTGAAAATATTTACAAGAACAAAAGCTAATCACGAGTTAACATCAATAGGTTACAATTGCTCATCAAAAAAGAAGACAACAAGCAAGGCCTTTGCTCACAGAAGTCCGGCCTCTTGGCCTCAGGTTGCGGCAATGCTATTGTAATGTGAAAGAAATATTTGCAGAAGGATTAACAGCAGTTTTTCTTTTATAGTTTTCGGGTTTATTGAAACCTTTCCGGACTGCAAAGCACAAAAGAGGAAAACCATGATGACACCAGAATACCCTCCAGAGATAAAACCAGGTTATCACAGTCTGCTCTGAAGATCAGTCACTTGATCAACAATTTGTCCCAGTGCAATGGTGCTCTTCAGGACACGATTTTTGGGTTTATTTCCATTATAATCAAGTGCACTTAGTGGGATGACTAAGGAAACAGTTACTCTTCTTAAATAAAACTACAGAATTCAAGTAATTCTACACACTGGGAACACAGAGATTATTCTTCCTGTTACACAACAGAAAGCTGTGAGACAAAATCAGCTCCATAAAACTGACCAAGGGTCACAGAGCAAGCTAAAAGTAAAGCAAAGAATCAAACCCAGAACTGCTCTGTTATGACTACTAGCTTATGCTCCTGTCACCAGACCGCCATAACTCCTCCAAATGACAATAATTTAACTTTCTAATATGGTAAGGAGCTGTTACAATGTGAGTAAACTCATTTTAGCTCACTAATTAGAATAATCACTGCTCTCTGGCTAATCCAGCTGCCACACACGTACACAAAACCCCTCCACTGAAAGTCACTGTGAACTTCAGGGGTTTCCTTCCCAAGTTGATGATAAATGGCGTTTTGTAAGAGGCATACACTATAGTTCAATATCCTGCCTACCTCCAGCCGGGTAACCTGAAAAATTACTGAAAGAAAAAGCACCAATAACAGTCCTAAAAGCATTACAATATTTTACCAAATGGATTCTCTAAAACTAAACTATTGCTTGGGTTGTTTTCCGAAGATTTTAAGGCAACTCCGCTAACTCCTCTGTTTAATCTCCTCAAATTTCTCACAAGAAATTTTCATATGAAGGTTTGCAAGTTACCAACCCAGCCTTTGCATGCATCCAACTTCAAGCTCTTCGACACTGTGAGAAAGTGATGAGCACAACCTGTGTGAAGTTCTTCAGAAACTGCAATTACTTTTCAGCCTTCTCATGGAGCTAATGACTTAAACAGCACTCATTTTCACGCAGTGATGACTGCACAAAGATCTTTGGGGGAAAAAAAATCTGATTTACTTATTATATCTCAAGACAGGCGTTGGAAAACTGAAACTGTAAAACTCTTGGGACACTCCCACAAATGCCTCTCCCTTTCTCTTGGTAACTCATCCATGCATGGTCTTTCTCCCACCTACAAAATCTGTCCATCACTGAGAATGCTAGAGCAAATGATATTGCTGTTTCTTCTTGGGTTGGAAGAAAGTGTCAAATCTATTCAGAACTCCAAATGTACCTAAAAGCACTGTAAAGCCAACAACTCACTGCAGTTTCCCTTGACACAAACCAGAATTGATTAGATGAAAGCTACACAAATTGATAGTTCCTTCCTTCCCCATACGTGATGTCAGCAGCTAAAGGAGATTGGATGTGCCATAGTAAACCTTTACAGCACTTCCCAGCCTGTTTCAAGCCTTACATGCTAAGCTGCTGTACAATGATGTGACAGAAGAAAGTAAAATGGTAGATACTGAAATATCTCTGAGGAGGAGGAAATTGCAGATGGCATTTTGGGTGCCTTCCAGTGGCTCCAGGCAGAAGAGCATGGCTCCAGAACAGCGCTGCAGAAAACTACATTTAGAAAAGTCCAAAGAAAGAAGAAAATAGAAAGGCTTCTTCTGGGACAAGTCTGGTTCCCTTAATAATCAACAAGTCATAGAAACGTTCCTTTGATTCAGAAATCCAACAAAGGTTCTCTCTATGGCAGTTGACTCTCTTGTCTTTGTTGTCGACTAGGACAGCACATAGTTGGGCTTTCACAAGCACTTCTAATCCTACTCATAATCAGGGAAGAGGGACTGTTCTTGGCCATTTTTAATACTCTCAGACTGGAAAAGGGTGGCTCTCCATACCAAACTGCTATTTAAACTTTCACTTCAATGGAAGCTGTGACTTAATAGAAAGGAGGGGCAAGGATGCAGCAAATCCTGAATCCAAACAATGCAGCTTCTAGGACAGACCTCATGAAAGGGAAGGGCAAAAAGAACGGCAAAGATGAAACCGATGAAGCTGGGACAATGATGATATTTGAACCTTATTTAGAGGCTCTCCTTCCTGTCCTCTGAGTCTTTCCAAAGCATATCCACCCCAGCGGTGGGATGTACAGGTCTGTGAGATTACTTCTCACATTGCTCACACACGCACACAAAAGTGGACAAAAATCTAAGCCATCAACTTCACATTGCCTAGTTTCCACATTTCTCCTCAAACAGTATTTATGGTGGATATCCAAATGGACTTCATGATCATCAAGACTGATGAGCAATGAGAACTTCAGATAACTGCTTTTGAATATAGACCAGATTAATGACCATGTGCTAGATGGAAACAAAACTTGAAACCCAAAGACCTCAAAACTTTCAGTTTAGAGTGGAAATTAACACAGCTGTGATAGCAGAGTTTACTTACGCTGCAAAACCAGAGCTATCTTTCTGAAGTTATTTATACCTTGGCTCTGCATACATTACTTATTTTTTGCACAATACCTGCAGCATCTTCTTTAATGGAACTCATTTTTTAGTGGCACAAACTACACGAGGAGACAGAACGAACCAAATAAATTCTTGCAATCTCTGGTAAAATCAACTGTTAGCAACTAACACTGAAACCTGAAGCTGGAAGACCATGAAGGTCTTTAGGCCAGCATCTCCAAAGGTATTTAGGAACCAAATCTTTTTGAGTCAGGCAGCTACACAGCAGGTACTGGAACACCTTAGAGGACATGGGTTCTAATGACTCAAGGAAATAGGTTTCTTGACCACGTAAGGGGAAGGAAAAGAGGATAAAAAAGAGATTTACCATGGAGCGGTGAACCAGAGGGGCTGCTTGAGAGGCCTGGAACAGGGCTACAACGTCCTCCTTGCTTAGATGTCAGCTCTTGCTCGATCTCTTCCAACCCTGCACTCTTCTGGAATCGGCTCATGCGATTTACCACCCGGGGTGACATGTGTGTTCGCACACAGGGCTGGCCACCATAAGGATTGATGGGAAAAACATGGGAAGTGCCCCGAAGTGTGCTGACCACAACCCAGCGGCAGTCATGGCTGAAGGAGATATCCTGTACCTAGAAAACAGGGGAGTGAAATGGGAAGGCAGTCACCAATGTACATGTATCTAACAAAGGAAACAGACAATCATGTTTTACACAGACACAAATCTTAACTGGAAATATGAATAAAAACTTCTAAGTTTAGGCAACAACTTGAATTTCTGCATATATACCGATGAACTCAGTACATATTCAGCACGTTTCAAGCTGCACTGTAATACCCAGATCCAAACTGTGTGTACTTTGCAAAATACTCTGAGATTTTTCTTTTCAACAGGCCTGAACTTCTGGAAACAAAAACCCTGCTGCAAAGCACCGCAGAAAGCCACGATTTTCAACTAGAATTTAGTTCTAAAAGGAGTTGGGAAATCGTTTCAATTACATCTTTTGTTATTTGCTCCTTTCATTTTTGGCGATTACCCAAAAAGGGAAAAGGGAAGGATAAGAAGAAGAGAGAGATCTCATCACTAGGCCTCATTTTGACAAATACTGGCACACAAAACTGTACTTTTAGTCAACAGAAATACCACGTCCTATGCAACTTAACAAACCAAACACCAATGGCCAGTACCTTCAGGAGCTGTCTGTAACGGTCTCTGATCTTGCTACTGTCAGTGTATCCCTCAGGGGAGCTACCATTCACCCTGGTATCCCTGGCCCTGTGCTATTCTTTGGATTTAGACTTCTGTCAAGAAAAAAAATGAGTAACTTTGGCCATTTCTCTCTATAAACCCACTCCACTGTACACATAATATTTATTAATCAGCTATTAAAGTTTCTTCTTACACATACAGGTGCTTATCCACCACTTGAGAAACACAAGTCTTATTTTAGCTTGAAATGGCCAGTCTTGAAGCAAATATAAAACTACAGTGAAATAGTTTTTACTGCAGTTAGTCACTGCACAGATCGCAGATACAAAGTCCAGAAGGATTTAATTCTCTTTTAAGTGTGCTTTACACAACACTTTGACGGAAAGCAAATTCTTGTTCCTGAAGGAATGCTTTAAAAGAGAGATTAAAGTTTGTTTCCAGCCCTGTACTGGCAGACAACTCAAGAAAACAAGCAGCCTGGCTTCAACTGATTTATCATAGAGAAAAAATCCTAAACCAATTCTCCTAAAAATGTTTTTAAAGGTAAAAGCTGACTAAAAAGAACCACGCATGCAAGTGGGATTTACCACGGCAAACAAACATAGAGACGAAGGATTAGCTTTCATTGTATTATTAAACAGCATAAACTAAATAAAATTCTTTCAGATTTCACTGAAGGCACCTTTACAATACAGCAGGTACTCAAACTGGAGTAAACACTGATAACATCTGGACAAATATCCCAGAAATGCACTCCAGCTATTCCAGACAAAAGCAGCAAGTATTCATCAAAGTGCAAGTTTCCAACTGAGCCCCGAAGCCTTTGAGATAAAACAAGGATTTAAGCCTTGTGACAAGATATTTGGCTGACAGACCGTCACGACACAAAATGCTTCATGGACATTACATAGATAAACTAAAAAACAGCGCTACACACCTGCTCTTTTCAACTGGGGTGACATAGCCAAATGATGTGCTAATGATACCACCAAACAACCTCCCCAAAACCTGACAGCTTTGGCACTTTCAGTGATGCTGGTATTACTGACATCAAGTCACAGCACTCCGAGCTCCCAGTTTGCCTACAAAGTGTTTCACCTTAATAGATTGCTCAAAAAGGATTAGAGACCCCACAGGGATTAACAAGAGCCAAAAAAAGGAAACCCCAAAGCGTGGAGTCAGAGAAAAACTATGGCACCAAGAGAATTTGATTTGCTGTTTAAAGAGGCTATTTCTCCTGGTCGAAATCAAACCTAAGAACTGAACACAAACTGCCAGTCTCAGTTACAACAGAAAGAGCCCCAAGATAATAAAATCATTAAGGCTGTTGCATTACAACTCCAATCCCATCCAAGGCCCTCTTTTCTAATTTCTAACAATGCAAAGAAGAGCTGTGCCTCTGGTGAGATGTGGCCCCTCTGGACACATCACTCTTCCCAAATATTTGGTATTTATTTTAGATCCAGCTTTAAATTTCCTTCCCAATTTCTAAGAGCATCTATCTGTCCCAGCCTCGAGAAAACAGCTTTTCTCCTCCTTCCTCTCTGCTCTTCTGCTCACTCAGTCTGTAACTCCAACATAGTTTTATCTGTCCTGCTCAGCTGGCTCATGCTCCTTGCACAAGTGCATCTCTAGAAGGGACTTACAAATCTCCCTGTGAACTGACCAATTTGGGCTATATTTGAAGGACAGGCTCAGGCTGCCTGTGCCTCTTCAATCTCTTCCTGCTGCCCTTCAGCTGATTTCACAGCCAAACTCTTTAAATCACTGCTTTCACTCACATCTACCACATACCCTCTCTTACCTCATGTCATTTGGTAGAGAACTTTTAGAGGATGTTTCTATGAGATGACAGAGAAAAAAAAAACCCGTATCTCACTACTGCCTAACAGGAATGTGTGTGTTTCTACACAAGCACTTGGATGTCAGTACGCATCCTTACGATTTTATGTTGTTTGAAAACACACATACAACAGCAGCATACAAACATGACACAGAAAAAAGTATTCCTGATCTTCAGGAAGAAAGCTTGGAACAACGTAATCCAAACCCCTCTCTTTAAAATACCGATCACGGACACTCGCTGCAGTTGGAGTGGGTGTCATGGTCATGACTACTGAAAATATGGCTGAAACCACAAAGAACAAACAGACTTTTAAGACTCAGTAATAACAAGAAAAAAAGTGATGACAGATGAGTGTGAAATGAATTGGGATTTATAAGAATACTGTTATGAAACCCTAGTCGGCAGCGACAAAAAGTATTGTGGAAACCACCGTGACACATGCAGTGATGCTACCTATCTCCTACCAGTCTCAAAAATGGCCTTGTCTTAGAACCACAGAATTCTATGACATTTCTATATGGATTGGAAAGGACCTTAAGATCACCCAGTTCCAACCTGGCCTTGAACACTGGTCATTCCCAGATGAGCGATGAGCAGCAGAACCACAGAGAGTCCAAGGAGGTAATTCCGAGAGTATTTCTGATTTCATACAAGGGCATGAATCAAACCAGCACAAACCCATCTGTGCAACGCAAAGAAGTCTGCAACATTCCAGTAGCCCTGGAAGAAAGCTGTGAACCAGGCTGAAAAGAGGACGCTTGGCACAGCAGGCTGGAAATGACTTCAAAAAATCAGCTGTGTTTGTCCACGAAAAAGAATAGGTATCAATTAATCACATGAGCCTTGCTGTTCTCCTCCACGCTGTTACTGCACATTACACAGAGTTCTTGACTGCGCATTGTATAAACAAACTGCACAGTGGCCCATTAGTGGTTTTCAAGTTTATGCTAAGCGTTGCAATTTATTGCTGTCCTTTAGGTTAATGTACTATTATTTCATGTATTTATAATATATTTCTGGAGTTGTTGTTAATTATGATGTAATGTTTAGATACCAAAGATCAATCACGACCCCATAGTGTTTACAGATATATGTTAATAAACTACAAAGTACAGTAGATCTCTCACGATGCAAAGTTTACTCTATAGCTCAAGGTCACCATCAGATTTAATACTCACATCTCTATTTCAAAACTTTATCTACCCTCTTCTGTCTGGGCCAGTAAAAGGAATTATAGACCTGAGATTTTGTTTAACTTGGGAACCCTTATGATACTTCAAACTGCAATACTAAATACTTTTGTGGGAGCATCAGTGCTTTCTCCTACCTCCATTCTCATTTCATCCCCCTAGTTTGTGAGCAGTTCTGTTTCTTAAGCTTCAAGCTACATTTCTCATATCCAAAAGGCTCAGTGAAATCCCTGGATACTCAAAGCTCTCATCAGAAAGCACCAAAGGCTCTTCTGGCCCAAAGGAATGCACTTACCACAACTACAGAACTTTATAAGGGTAACAGCACACATCCTCCAGTTTGTCCATGCCTAAACCAGGTATTCTGTGACTCCCATTGCACAGGAGGTTTGTCTATATTTTATAGACTATCAGCTTCCTTCACAAATCCAAATCTTACTTGTCAAACCCAAAAGGGCTTCTGGCTGCCCAGACATGAGGTACCTCTTATATTACTGCCTGCTACGGACTCGTCTCTGTACTAATGACGAGTTTGTTGGGAAAAAAATAACCAGTACCCTTACAAAACTGTCAATCCTATTTTCAGAGTCATGGACAAGATGACTGTTGTCCCAGCAGAGACAATTCAACAATGTTCCGGATATTCCGGGAGGCTTTAGCACAGCTTGGAAAGAAATCATCCAGTACTTTGATGGAAAGGAAATAAGAGTCTGAGAAAGGTTTTCTTTACAGGTGCTAAGAAAGAAGTCTTTAAACACGCTTGTATTACACAATGAGACCTCCACCATGCAGCTTCCTTCAGCTTTGTCATTTCTCTCACCTTCACCATTTGTTTCTTCCAACCCTTTCCACCAAAGTATTCACTTCAGACCTCTGTAAAACTCCTTTTCAGTCTGCTTTCCTTCAATGACTCTGCTCTTCTGCTTCTTTTTAACTTCCACTCTCCTAATGGGCTGTGCTGTGAATGCTACGATGAAAATCCTTCAGAAATCGGAATGAAAATTTAGCTGCCATGTTCAGGGTCTGACCTGAGTGAGACATCGTTTAATACCTGGAGTCCTACCAGGACATGCCGTGCATCTTCAGCTTTACTGAACTTGTACAGATCAAACAATTGCTTCTGATATTCTGGAAACGTGGAGGAAAGCATCTGAACCAAAGGCTTCACAGCTGACAGACATTCACTTGCTTTAGAGAGGGGAGTTTATGCCATAATTCCTTCCTTATTGCCACGGCTCCTCCATATTGAAACGTGGTATAATTAGAACATATTCACAAAAGATGCTTTTAAAAAATCAAGCCTTAACCCAAAGAAAATAAAACAGAAGCGAAGCAGCATAGAGAAAACTTATTTCAAAAGCAGGGGATGAAAAAGGGCCCATCAAA